TGCATTGGGCTGCAAAAATTTTGCTGTTGCAGCTCCTCGTACTATTGTGCCACCAAATGGCATATCGTCTTCAGTGTTTACAGCCAGGTCTGTGACTAATTATCTGTTCTCACTATGAATGCCCTCATTAAAAGTTAGTCTGATATGTCTAAATATTTTAATGATAATAAACAATTTTGATTAGGTTCCACATTTGTGTAGCATTGGTTTGATAATTATGAAACTTGAGTAAGGACTGCGTTTTCTGCCATCTTTGTCTATAGGAGAGAGTATCACTGATGGCTGCACAGTACGAATGCTAGAGCACCTAATCGAAATTTGGTAAAGCTAAAATTCATCATTATGCTTTTTCTTGCAACCAGAATTCTTCCTAGCCTGCATTTTTGATCAGTGTTTGCAGAAGGCTTGTGATTGTGGCAAAACTTCAAACAGATGCTAGTGGGAAAATGACAGAATTCTCTCTAATTGACTGGTGTTGGTCAGATCCTCTTTTGCTTCTCAAAGCCTTCAGAAATTCCCTTCTTATCTGACGAGGCCGTATGCTTCAAAAATTGACCTAAAGCATCAGAATTTGGCACGCTTTTCGGTTTTGCATTAAGTCTTAGTCGCGTGTGCGGCCCACCACAAATCCAAGTTTGACATTATATCCACGAATATTTTTACTAAAGACATGAACGTCATCTAGGACATGTTGTACAACGTTTCAGAAATAATCCGATTTGTGCGGTCCGCGTAGGGCGTTAAAAAATGGGCATCCCATTACATTGTTCAAAGAGCTTGACCGGAATCTATTGAGCTCGTTTACTAACGCGAAATCTGACCTCACTCTGCCCATTTTTGCAACTTCCTATTGATTGTATCCTAACTCAAAATCTAACGTGGTAAAATACTTTGACCCAGGTAGAAAGTCTAATAAATAACTTACGTGGCGAAGTGGGAAAGAACCCCTTACTTTGGTGCTTCATTCAGCTTCCCATAGTCGGTACACAGCCAAGGAATTCCGTTCTTCCTTACCAGACCATTCGGTTTTGCTCACGGTGACTTCGAGGAAGTTATAATCCTGACTCTGATCACTTTTCCATCAACACGGTTTACTTCAAGCAGAAGAGCTGGCATGCGTCTGGGTGGCTTTTAGATCCGTCAGGCGTCGATGGCGTCTATCGTATATCACGATGCCTGCTATGCCCAGCTTAATGCCTTGCTATGCGTATATGTTGGCATACTTAACCAGCAGTCTTCAGAACTCGTTCATCTTGTTACCAGTGACATGCCTAAGCCGAGTGCAGAGGCCATCTAGGCTGTTCATGGATATAGCTGCAGCTTCGAATAGAGCATTGCAAATATCATTGAATTCTGCCTTTGTTAGCGAAAGGACTATCAAGGCCTCAGTTTCTATGTGGGAAGAAAAGATGCATTCCGAAAATTTCAGGACTGCTACAGTGCTACGTAGAAAATAGTCACCAGGATTTACTTCTTTAGGCAATTCTACAGATGTGGGATATTTTGCCACCCAGGTATTCTTGCCTATGATGTCATACCACCGCCTCTCTTCTTGGGTGCATAAATGGCTGAACAGCTGTCCGTTTTTAACTGAGTTTGACTAGCGAGATACTGGTTTAATGCCGATAGACGTGCTGATTTCTCTGCACCGCCTTATTGGTGCATCTAGGTGGATTGGCAGCGGCCAACGTGTGCAGGTTAAAGAAGCCCAGGAATAATCAAATGAAAAAAAGCAGGCTCTGATGCTTACCCTGCGGTGTCTGATGCAGTGTGACGTGGTACCT